CCGCCACGCCGCCCAGGCCGTAGGGGACCGGGAAGGCGAACTTGTCCTTCTTGAGCAGCGTCTTGGGCTTGCGCCGCGGCCGGTACTTGTAGTCCGGGTGCTCCTTCATGTGCATGGCGCGCAGGCGCTTCGCCTCGTCGATGAACGGCCGCTTCTCGGCCTCGGTGAGCAGCTTCCACTCGGCGCCCAGGCGCTTGCTGATCTCCGAGTTGTGCATCTTGGGGTTCTCCTGGGCCATCTTGCGCCGCTGAGCCCGGGACCACACCATGAAGGCGTTCATGGGCCGCTTCACGTGGTCCACCGGCTTGGACATGCTCTCGCCGGGCCTCGGCTGCAGTCCGCCACCGGCCGGGCCTTCGCCCGGGGCCCGGAGGAAATCGATGGTGGCTGCGGTCCGCGGGGACCGGTGGGGCCCGCGCGCGTTCCTCGCGCCGCCCTGGGCGCCCCTTCGGGCCGCGGCGCCGCTCCCGCGCGGCCGGAGGGCAAGAGCGCGCGCCCCTGGCCACCCTCCCCGCTGAGTCCTGGCGCTCGGGACAATCGTCTCCCGGGCAGGAGAACTACTCGGCGGGGCCCCTCCTCTGCGCCGGCAGTTTTCACCCCTCCGCCTTTCCCGCCTTCCTCTGGCCGGGTGGGCCCGCGGACTCTCGGCAGACCTCGGCCAGCGCCCCGTCTTTTCCCTCCCGGCCGCGCAGCAGTTCCGAAAGTTGAGCCGCGGAGGTTCCACAAAGTTGAGGCCAGAAGCGCGCCGCCGCCTGCTGCCAAGTGCCGAAGGGGGGCTCTCCGCGCCTGGAGAGTTTGGGTTCGGCTGGGTGATCTTCTCATTTGACAGTCGCAGGTGGGGAGGGAGGGTGGGGAGATGGCAGGTGGCCGAGAAGGACGCAGAGGGGTCGGAAGGTCCGGCGCGCCCAGGGGACGCGGAACGCGGCAATGGCTATCAATAGGGATACAGTGGCACCGGCAGGTCTTCGTGGCGCGGGACAGGGGCGGCGAAAGGGGCTCCCCAGTCCGCAGTCTTCGGGGTCCGCGGGGCTGTCCGCGCCCCCGGTACCCGCCTCGCGGGTCTTCCTCTCCGAGAGCTGGGCGCGAGGGGCGAGGCAGGAGGTCCGCGGACGCTGGAACAAGCCTGGAGCCCAAGGGTCTCAGAGGAAGTGCCGGCGTGTCGTGGGGGCGATGGAGGTCGCCGTCCTCCGGGGCATGCTGGCTCGGCGCTCCGCAAGCCCCTGCAGGCGCCTCGGCCTCCGGGCCTCTGGGGCGCGCCTGGCGCGGAGGGCTGCCGTGCCCTGGCACGGGGCGGCGGGCCCGGGAGCTGCCGAGCCCCGCTCGGCTGCCGCCCTACACTTGCAACGAACTTCGCCCAAGTTGCCGGCGCTGGCACCCCGGCGCCCCGCTAGGCGCGCTCTCCTCGGACTCCGCGCCCCCGGGTGCGCCGCGGCCCGGGCGCCCTAGTCTCCAGGCTCCCGTCCGAGCCGCGCGGGCGAGGAAGGGGCTTAAGTAAAACGCATCATCACCTCCGTTCCCAGGGCCGCGCCGGGGCTGCCCGCGTTGCCCCCACTGTCGCCGCGGAGAGGGCCTCTTCCCGGCGCCGAGCGCCTCGCCGCCTCCCCCGGAGGGGCCAGGAGCCCTCCGCCAAGGCTCAGGTGGGCGTCCGAGTGGCGGCACCGGCGTGTGCTCGCGCCGCGAGAAGGCGCCGGGTGTGCACGTCCGGCCGCCGCCGAAAGTGTGTATATCTGGGGGCATGCGGAGGAGGCGGAGCCCGGACCGGAGCAGGGAGGAGGAACCAGCCGAGCCTCCTCCCCGCTCCCACACCCCCAGGACCTCGACTAGGAAGCAGGTTCCCCACTGCCTAAACCGCCCCCGCCCCCCGCCTCTCCTCTTCCCGCCCCAGCCCCCTGCTTCTCTTTGAGAGCCGGTTTTGGCGAGAGCAGATCCCGCAGCGCGCCGCCGAGTCTGCGCACTGTTTGGAGTTGGCCACCCCTTGGGTGTCCGTCCTCCCTCGCTACTCTGGCGGGCCTGTCTCTGCGCTGGTTGAGCAGCAGGGCACTTGGATCGGAGAAAGGAGGCGGCGGTCCCGAAGATGAGAACCTTGTGAACGACGAAGAAAGAAAGTTAAAACTGGGGAAAGGGGAACACACCCTTGAAACTGTTTGGGATTTTCGCAGCTCGTCCTGATTGGAGCTCCAGATGTGCCTCTCTTGCACTGAGGATGCAACCAGTCAGATGTGGTGTAGTGCAAAATAGCTGAGGAAGGACAGAGCACGCTCTTGACAACCTTCTAAAAAGCAAATTAACCTTGGCTGCTTCGCTCTTTAATGATGGCTTTAAAAGAAAACAAAAACCCTGCTCAACAAAGCTGCCTATAAGCTGATCTCTCTTTAATGTGCAGTTAACTTATAGTATTGCACTTAAATGCCCAGACAGGGAGGGTGAAGATTTTTGAAGATCAGTAAGTATAAAACGTTTTCCTGAAATGGGGAGAGTAAGATATAGTACTCTTTGCCGGAATATTTTATATTTTTAAGCTGTTAAGACAATTTTCCTCCTTTGGTAGTTATCAAATTTTGTTTTGTTTTTCCTGCATAATTGACACGCTGCAAAATTATGTAACATGCTTTTGTTTCTGCCCCCCCCCCCCTTCTAGATCTGCTACAGCACATTATAGCTTGACCTTCTGGATCTGCTACAGCACATTATAGCTTGACCTGTCTGGAGGTTTGATTACAAGTTGACCTGTCCTTCCGGAAGAACTTGCTTTGTCTTCTTTCTTTGGCCGGTCGGATTTGACATAGCCATGTGGTATGTGCAAGAAGGCTAACTTTCAAGACTTCCCTAATTCATTTTCAGCACACAGGATTGATTGTAATTATGAATGGAAAGAAAGCCTGTTTTAGGCTGTCAGTTTGACTTAAAAGTCAGGTTGCTTTGTTGGATTTGACCGTCTTAATAAGTAAGTGTATGACTGCTTTAGTTCTGTTTGTTGTAATACATACAGAAATGTGAACTAAAATGACATGTGTGGGAGATTTCTGCTCCCCTTTAAGATTTATTTACAGATGCTTGTTCTGTTTCACGTATGCCCTTTCTAAAATGATTGGCAGATACCTCTGTAACTATATTCCTTTACAGGTTCTGCGAAGACACTGTCATTCAAGAAAAGGTGTAGCAATGTTCAGACACTAGCAAGTGTCATTATATAGACTAGAATATTAGCTCTGCGCTGACAAACTACAGAATTCTCATGCTTAAGTGTAGAAGACACTGACTTGTATAATAGGCTTGAGACAAAAACATTGCACACTATTGCACAAAGAACATACACATTGGGACAAAGCACAGGCAAAACTGTTATTCATTAAACCTTGTGAATAAAGTTCAGTCAAATCGTGAAGATTTCCTTGTCACATGAGAAGTGATAAGAATCCAGAGAAAGTGTTCTATATTGGTGAAATAAATTAATTGATACTATGTTCAAGTTGTAATTTAAAACTGTCATGCAATAAAGCATTAGCAATGGAAAGAAACCTTGATAAATACCACTGAAGTATATACTATGTGCATGTGAAGTAATATATTACAAAAATAAAAATAGAGATGACTCATTTTCCCAAGACAAGTGATGCAGCATTGCCTACTTAGCAATATTAGCCCCATCTGAAAGGTCCTAAGCCCAAACAAATTGAACTGTGGATAACAAAGTTATCATAAAAAATTGCTATTTGTCTGCTGGTTTGTCCATTTGCCAAGCCAAATTGCGCACATTTTAAGACAGCAGAGGTTTGAGGTTCAGCTTCAGTTAGTAGGGCATCAGTGCTCTTGGCCTAAATCCGTCCGCCAAGGAAAGTGCACTCCGAGTAAGTCCTGCAGCAAAGAAAGGCAGTGTATCAAACCACCTTCACGCTTCTCTGCCTGAATACGGCTGTATTTTAATGAAGGACATTTTGAACCGTTCTTTATGTGCACCAGAAGGTAGGAAATTTACTTTTAATTTCTCCAGATCTGAAGTTTGAATTGTGTAGACTGTTATGTTTTTGTTCTTTTGGTTATTTGACCTAGAAATGGAAAATACCAGTGCACAGGAGTTAAAAAGAGACTAGTCTGTGTGAGCAAATAAGTGAAGAAAAAGTAAATTGAAATAAATTCATAAGCTTGATGGGCCTTATATGGTCAGCTCTTGACCTTGACTGTGACTACTTAGAGCAGGGGTTCTCAACTGGTGGGTGTAGACCCTGTTGGGGGTCGAATGACCTTTTCACGGGGGTCGCCTAAGGCCATCAGAAAACACATATTTCCAATGGTCTTAGGAGATACCAACTGCTCCTCTATCCATCTCCACGTGGGCCTGCCCACATGCAGATACGCCCACATCTGAGTACCCTGTATGAAGACTGTTTTACCCATGCTACACCATGCTTCAAGACAAAATTTCATTTACTTGTCATTAGAAATAAATATTTCACAATATATAATGACATATTGTTTTTGTGATTAATTACTATGCTTTAATTATGTTCAATTTGTAACAATGAAAATACATCCTGCCTATCAGATATTTACATTATGATTCATAACAGCAGCAAAATTGCAGTTATGAAGTAGCAAGGAAAATAATTTTATGGTTGGGGTCACAACAACATGAGGAACTGAATTAAAGGGTTGCGAACCACTGACCTAGAGAATGGTACACTTAGTGTAAACTGTATGAGAGTTGCTTTTTTTTAAAAAATTGTGGCCGCAGTGATATATGTTATCACAAATATATCTAAACAGACACATAGGCACTCCCAGACAAAGTTTTGTGGGTCTGTCCTGTATGAATTCAGCTTCCACTCTTTCCTTCCTTAAATTCTCCCCAGCAAATGATTTCTTTTCAATTCTAAAAGTTTCACTAGGAGGCAGCAATGAGGTTGTTGGGAAATGTAAAAACACCTTGGCAGTGCTAGGTAGAGGGCTGTCTTTCTCTCCCTCTTCTGTAACAGAGGAGGAGTACTTGGGACCCAAAGGGAGAAAAGGGTTCATAGTGAAGTAGGTACTTTTCCTCTATCTTTTCAATCTCCTCTCCCTCCATTGGATTTTCACCCAGATTGCTCACTAACATTTTTCTAGAGCCATGGAGGTGATAGACAGGGGTTGGGGTGGGGGTAAGCAAACCAATGACCTGGTTGGCAGTGACCAGATGGAAGTGTTTGACAGTACAGGTAATGCCTGCAAAGTAAGGAGGCCAAGTGCGTGGTGGGCGACCACAGCTGGAACACAGAGAACTTTCGCTTCTAACGTGGGGGCAAGGAAAGAACTTACAAGCTTTCATACCTGCCTTGAGAGGTAACCCAGCTTGTTTGTTC